TTACGCTTTGCAAGATGACTGCAAGACTTCGAAAGACTTTGCCAGACTTTGTCGAGCTACGGCGGTATACCGAACGCGCAAGAGAGTTGAAAGTAGACGTACCGATGTACCATCCCTGAGCAAGGAAAATCCGGGCCATAAAGGCGAGCAAGAGCACAGTGGTTCCGATCCATCGGTAGGTAGTGTAGGGAACGGACTTGTCGATGTAGGTTTGGTATGCCTATAGATGTGGCGTTAGTTTCAAGATCTTTTCCTCATCGACCGCGATGGAAAGGGGATGCTGTAGGACACGTACTCTGGTAATGCGAGAGGTCTGCGCGCTGACAGCGGCGGGGAAGGTCTGGTCGGGAGGTACAGAGTCCATAGTTTGACGATAAAACAAGCGGGTGTTTAAAAATCCGTTGATGTGGTTGATGTAAAAGGTGGTTTCAGCGCACGGGCTGGGAAGAAAGGCATACGTTGAGATTAATGGTGAAGTTAGAGCCTCACCGCGCCACAGCTCAAGGGGGACAATCCCTGCAACCGCTTCAAGCTGTAGCTTGGGCTTCACCAGCGGACTTTTCTGCACAATGCCATGCGTAATTGAGTGTTTGTTAATAACTGCGCCTCATTTCGTGAATTATGTATATCAAGCGAATAATAATTATGTATTCTGCAGCTGTGTCTTTTGGTAGATCTTTATCTACAGAGTGTTGCTCAGCCCAGTCCATGGTATCTATTGAATGTTCTTAAAAGTCGAAAGATGACATCGAATGTATCAGAAACTCAACCACTTTATCATTACGCATCGACATGCTCATTTCCCATCTGCAATGTATACCCCGTTTCCATCTGCGAGCTCAGTTCCATCTGGCAGCCCAGTTCCAGCTGCGATGTGCGGGTAACTCTGCGTACCTAATCGCCGCCAGATCTCAGACTACCTGTAAGCGACCCCAATCTGTGACTGGCGTAGAAGCTAGCCATAAACCCTGCACACAGACCCTGGCTCGCACGCTAGTTGCCTGAACCAGTCTCCTACCCCACCATCACCACCGACACGCCAAACTCTCGACGCGCTCGCTCATTGATAGTTAGCAATAGCTTAATTAACGGTGAGGTGAAAGCGATTCGACAGTATCACCAAATGTCAGGATCAGGACCGCCCCCCATTGCGACGGAGGGTCCTCCAGCTGTCGTACCAGCGTACACAGCACAGAGACACACTCAACCCCATACTCCTCCAACACAGTACGATGTGGTTCATTCACCCCACACAGGATATTATCATCCCGAGAATTGGCAACCACACGGCCAGTTTGTATCGCCAGGCCCTCCACCGGGTCCTCCGCCTCTTATGCAGCAGTACCCAGGCCCCCCACCTCTGATGCACTCAGGTCCAATGTACTCGGCGGTTCCGCAACCGTACCCAGTTGCAAATGGTATTCCTGCACCCGTGAACTGCCCGCCTCCACCTCCGCCAGGCAACTACCCTCACGGAAACTTTCCAGTTGCACACGTCCCTTACGGAACCTACTCAGCTCCCCAGATCCCCCAGGGAAGTTATCCAGTTCAACAGAGCTCTCGCGGATACCACCCCCAAGCTTCAGGACCAGGAGGACACCACTCCCAAGCTCCAGGACCAAGAGGACTACCACCCCACAACCAGTACGCTGCAATGAACGGCGGCCACCGTGATCCCGCTGTCCCGCGACGCATGCCGAATTCCGCACCGCGTCGTAATCCCCCGCGTAACGGGTCGAACCAGCACTACAAGCCTACATCTCATTATCCGCCTCAGAACCAGCGTGCCCCACCACCACCACCAAGTCTTGACGATTTCCCTCCTCTGGGGGCGACGGTTCGTAGCAACCCACCTCCCCCACCTCAGCAACCGCTCAACAACCTTCCCCCGCAACAGTCTGATCGAGGTCGTGGTGGTCGATACATTCCAGCGTCGGGAAATCGCAACACAAATAGCAATGCTCCGGTTAGAATTGCGCCTCGTTATGAGCTGTTTTTCCCGATCCAGGCTCATCACCTCGATGCACTGGCCAAGGACATTCTGGCGCAGATCACGCCGCCTCCAGGTGAGACAGAGCAGAAGCGGAAACTTCTCGCCCAGTTGGAGCAACTATGCAAAGAACTCATTTCTTCTGCAAGATTGATACCCTTTGGCAGTCTCGTTAGTAAGTGAAGCCATCAATCCTTGACCACCCTGGTCTACTGTCTTGAGTTCCATAATTGGTACAGAACATATTTTGACTGATTTCATTGTGTAGCCGGCTTCGCCACTGCATCCTCCGACATCGATTGCATTTTCTCCCCGATCCAGGTGTCTAACAACCGCTACGTGGAAACGCCCCACGTCATAGAGGGACCAACCGATGCTGAGAAGAAACGCCTCGGCGACAACCCGGATTACCCCTTGCTCCTCGCACAGCTGCTCGAGAAGAACGGCTTCCAAGTGTTGTTACTTTCAAAGACAAGAGTGCCCATCATCAAGTTGAAGCGGGCTGCGTCTGATTCTCATCCTGAGCTTAATTGCGATATTGGATTTAAGAATAGCCTTGCAGTGCATAATACTGCATTGTTGAAGACGTACTCCGAATGCGATGAGAGGGTGAAGCCGCTTGTTCTTTTTATCAAGGTAAGCTTCATCATGACATGACACAATATCGTTATTATTACTGACTCTCTGTATAGTGGTGGGCTAAGAGGCGTTGTATCAACACCCCTTATCTTGGAACCCTCTGTTCCTACGGCTATGTACTTATGATCCTCCACTACCTCATCAATGTGGTCCAGCCTCCTGTTCTCCCCAACCTTCAGGACATCCCACCACCCGCCACAACCCATGCTCGCGAGCTTTCCTTCTCGGAGGACGGTGGTGACACTGATTATTTCATCTGGTTTGCCAAGAACCTGAGTGAACTCCCGCGATCTAAAAACACCAGCTCCTTGGGCGAGTTGATTCGCGGATTCTTCGATTATTACTCCTTCAAGTTTGCCTGGGGTAACGCTGTGATTTCTATCCGCAGCAAAGGTGGATTGAAGACCAAGCAGGAGAAGGAGTGGACCACTGCCAATATCAAGACAGCCGGTGGAGAGGGTGAGACAGAGAATACTTTCCAAGTCAAGAATCGCTACCTGGTTGCGATCGAGGATCCCTTCGAGACTACCCACAACGTTGGAAGAACTTGCACTGGTAAAGGTAAGATTCTAACCATAGATCCGTTTATTCACTAGCAAAGGCTAATATATCATAGGCTTGAATACCATCCGTTCTGAATTCCGTCGTGCGATGGACAAGATTAAGACTGTTTCCATGGCACAGGAATTTAGCATCGGATCTGGAATTTATGAGCTCTGTGAGCAAGCTCCTGTTCCGGAGAGGCAGGAGAGACAGCCCCGTCGCCCGCTCTCTATGGAGTCCACTGGAGGACCCGCCCCTACCGCGCCCGACAATCTTGCCGAGACTACTGGCTCCTCCGCAGAATCCTCTACCGACTCCGCCCCTCCTACCCCTAAGGCGTCTACTTCAACTACCGCCGTTACCACCCCCGCCATTACCACCCCTACAGAGAAGTGCGGCATTGCTATCGATAATGTTGCTGAGGACAATATTGCTTTGGCCTGTAGTGCCCTGAAAGACCCTGCCCTCCAAAATGCCACCATTGATGGAGATCTAGCCGACGAGACAAGGAAGCTAGACATTGGGAAGTAGTTCCCGGGTTGGGGGGAAACAATAGCGGTGTGTTTGGCGGTAACTTTGGGTGGAGCTGAGCGTTGGGCGGGTGAACGTATGAGGTGACGGCAAGATGACTTTCGAGGCAACGGGATAACTGGCAAAGTAAGCTTTTGACTTGTTACAGTACTTCTTCTGGTGCAGCCATGTTTTACCATTTTGGGGTATTCAGCGATTCAACAAGCTTAAAAACTTTGACTAACAAAAAATTTGGGAATAACAACAAGGGATTGAAATTTAACGGCAAAAAATTGGGGCGTATGAGGTGTTTTTTTTTTTTTTTTTTTTTTTTTTTTTTTTTTTGATTGTTTTTTTCTTTCTGTTTTGGCTATGATGACTACTTTATTTAATTTGGTCGACTTACTTGGGGATCTGGGAATTGGGATTTGTGGGATTCTTGGGGTTTGGTTGATTTGATAATCAATCAACCCGGGAATGGAGATCTCTTTGGGTATGTTTTGGGTACAGGATACATAAAAATCTGTAAGGGTTCTTGCAAAATTTCGGGGTTTATTTGGGGCTTTTTTTTTTTTTTTTTTTTTTTTTTTTTTTATGAAAATGGACGGAAAAAAAAAACGTCGCGATTATTAAAAGGACCGTCTATTTGTTATCAGATCAAGTTAACAGATGATGAGCGATAAGTAGCTAGCTAGCTATTTCCTCCTGATAATAACGAGGCAAGAGGAAACATCCGATTTATTACACTGTGTGTGATGTAGTTGCTGTTTGGAGTATTGGGAATGCAAAGCACTTGGTGCTTGGGATTTTAATGTAATTAGAAAATAACAAAAAAAAGCTTTTTTTCTTCGGAAATAGAAAAGAAAAGGAGACGATAGATGATGTGATGTGTCGCGGCGTGAGTCGTGCCGTCTGAACTTTGTACCCCGTTCACTGGATCATATGGAAAAGCGACTTGACGTTGACTGCATGCCCCTACTGTGCATCCTAACGCTCTTTTGGCCGTCTAGACAGCAGAAGCGTCCTTGTTACAGGTCCAGTGGGCACCTTCACTCCGACTTCCACCCGCATTTCTAGGTGGATGTTGATATTTCTTTTTTATGTCATTCATGGAATACTGATTCCAAGCAGACTAGCAACATCTAGTCACATTTCTACATAATCCAGTGAACGGAGTACTATTACGCATACAGCAATTAACCATTTACCAGTGCTTATTCCCTTTGTACAATATTTCTCACTAGCAATCTAACTACAGATGTGTCTTCACATATTTAACCTCTACATATAATTTAGCTCTGCACAACAAACATGAGCCGGTTGCATAGTGTAGTGGTTATCACGTTCGCCTCACACGCGAAAGGTCGCCAGTTCAAGCCTGGCTGTAATCATTTTTAAATCGGTGTGCAAGTTTATATGGAGGTGGAGTCGTGACTCGTCATGCATTGAGGCTACAAATGCCGGTGCATACTCGTTTTCATCAACTTTCACTCAGATATTCCTTTTGGTTGGGGATGAGTCACTCCTGGAACAGGATTAGTTATTTGACGGATGGCTGGCTATATCTTATCCGGGGTTTTTTTTTTTTCCTTTGAAGGGAACTTGAGAAAATGGATTTAGGTGTCTGCTTTAATTGCTTTGAGATGGGCCACAAGGTATCATATGTAAAGGAGACCGGTAAGTTTATAGTCCACATGAGAGATGTTCAGAAAAAGAGCATGGGGGAATTTTCGAGGGACTAGAGTCTACAAACTATGCAAACGTTCTTGGAAGATCTTGAAAGAAGAAGAATACTATCTAATGATTGGATAATAAACACCCAGAGGAATAAGTGGATGCAGAACAGGTTGAGGAAGGCGAGGAAGAAGATGTCGATGAGGAGAATCTAGAAGAGGAGGAAGACCAGAGCATCTGAAATTCAGCAGTTCGGCGGTTCGCGAAGAAAAGGGGGACGAACTCAACGGCTAGTGTTGAGTATGGATTTGCTTAGAACTCAGACGGTATATTTTGCATAGCATGAATGTGGTGACACATGGAAGTGCAATTGAGAAACATGGCTGATGGTTCGGTCTGCGGGTATTTGAAATCATTCAGTTCGCATGAATGTGACGATTGAAGCGCAACTTGCAATATCTCGGATATTGTCAACTCCGGAGAGGTCTTTCTTTATCGCTGCATTTTTCTATAAGTACGTTCATCTGCTCTGATAAATGTATATCGAACCTTCTCATATCTTCCGATGTGCAAAAACCTACTCCAATAGGTTCTGCGCCCTCGCCTCCCTTAAAGTCAACGATAATCTAAGCCCTTACGACGAACATTTCTAAGCCTGAGGCCCTACACTGAGTTTTTCGAAATTCGGAAATATTGCCTTTGAGTTTAGCTCTATTTCCCTAAGAACTATTTTCTTTCGCACTTTTAGCATCTCAGATGTCGATCCGGCTGTACTGTTGTTCTCCAGCCGTAACCAACAAAGATCATCGAAATCAAGCTCGAAACATCACGAGTTACAACATCTGCAAACCTTCGGTCCACAGATCTAAAAATCACTCGGAATCACTCACATCAAATCACCAACGAGCAGATTTCGTTATGTTGTTTCAATAGCCAGCCTGTTAGTAACTGTCATAGGCCGGTCCGCCTGAATACATTCATGATTAAAACAAAAAAAAAAAACATCACCGACGAGCCGCTCCACATCCACATCATGGAGACCAGAAAAACAATGTCCACCTCAACGACCCTTCTCAACGATAGAAACTACCCCGAGTGGTCACAACAAATCAAAAACAGCTTAAAAACGAAAGGATTATGGCGAATTGTCATTGGAGAGCACCGTGTGCCAACCCATCCTGAAGTCCCATCAGATGTCAAACACAGCAAGGACTTTATCGACCCTTCTACAGCAGATCAAACTACTTTCATCGAACCCCAATCAAACGACTAATACTACGTTCAACGCTTCGATCGGTTTGTCATTGAATATGAGCGGTACCACTGAGGGTAGTTGCGGCCGTTCAGGAGAATGGTGGAGGTGGGCATGGTTATGTTTTTGGTATTCGGTGGTGTGGATGTGGATTTGAATTGTTCGTTGTAGGGCTTTTGATGGATTATCGTCGACTTTAACCTAGGACTCTAGGGCTCATAACCTGTTGGAGAAGGTTTGGCACAGCGGAAGATATGATAAGGTTCGATATAAATTGATTCATAGAATGTATGACCGTACTTGTGGAAAAATGTAAAGACAAAGAAAGATTGCAAAAAAAAAAACAAAAACAAAAACAAAAGGCAAAGTTATGACTAGCGTTACTACACTATTCAAACAAGTTTGGCTTATTCCAGAAATCCAAACAGTCCCTATGACAAATAAAAGCACTAATCTCCAGCGCATGTCCAGTTCTCAACCAAAGATCAGATCGATTTCTAGCCGTGAAAAGTCGATCTCTACATTGATGATGCCTAATTGGATCGAAGAACATAATCCTGTCAGACTTGCTGTTGCAGCCCAGAGATCTCCAGGGGGCGAGGGGGTGGAGCGACGCAACGCAACCTACCGGTAAAAAGCACAACACCCATTCCTGACGGCATAAGCAGAGACTGCATCATTCCATACCCCATCCAAGTGTACACATTGATAAGGCGGGTCGACCCACTCTCTGATATGGCCTCGCCAGATAGAAATTCTTAGAAGGAATCGGCCGTCGTCGTCGTCGGACCGGGGGATAAGCATGTTACCGCGCTTGTCGAGAGTTGAGTTGAATAAAATGGAGGGATCTGAAGGATCTATGGGATTGTAAGATTGAAGAACGATTGCTCAGAAAGGGCAGAGAGGGGCTTTTCTTCAGAGAGGGATGGAGTGACGTTGGATTGCGGGTAAGCGAGTATAAGGGGGAGAAGAAAAAGAGATAGGACGGTGGTCGAAAACTTCATGGCGAACTAGAACTCGACAGCTTGCGATAGCTGTAGCGAGACGGTGAGAGAATTGGCAGTGGATTTAAACGCCGGTGGATTGATGAAGGTTACCATTCTGATGATCTCTGACAGTTTTATAAGAACTTTGACCTGGGCATAGGTAAGGGGTGGTTTATTCTCGATTCCGTTATCATGATGCAGGGAAACATGGTAAAAGTTCCTTTACTCCTCGAGACGTGAGGAATCAACATAGGAACCTGGCATATTTACCTATCGAAGAACACAGCCAATCATCCCGCTTGCACACTTCGCCAACGAGATTACTCGCATTCCTGACCTTGCGCGTAAGTGAAAATCCCCCATGTGCAAAAGTTTATTTACGCCATTGCGTAATGGGCTGGGTTGCACCTTCCAGTTTACATGTAAATCTCCCCTCCGTCCCCTTGGAGCCGAGTTGTGTAGAAAGAAGTCAGGAACCCTAGAGTAGGGGAACCCATCAAAATTAACTAAGCCAAGTAGAGAAATGTATATACTACGATACTTCTGGTGTAAGTATTGTCCTCGATTCTCACTCGGCGTGGAATTATGGTCGCGTAAACGCGGTACAGAAGTGTATGGGTATCCCTCGGGATTTGACTCAGAATTATGGTAGCAGTACACTATTACATTTCGCGCGTATGAAAGTGTTCAGCTATGCAATATGTCAGGTGAGTGCTACCGTATGATTGTCACCGGCAGAGTCTGCAACGTGTAACCGAGTCTTCGACACTCTAGCCTTCCCGAGATCTCGTGACAGCTACCTTGCCGTGAACACTAATTATGCCGCGTTCTCAACACGGGTCTGGCCTGCACTTCTTACTTGTCTTACCGTATGCTTTTCAGCGCATCATAAGACAGCTCATTAAAGAATTTCACATGTCATAAGGTACCAGTTCTCTACTTGTCTCACCACCTCTTATCCTGACCTTGATCCAAATACTCTGCTACATAACAATAGTCCTATCGCGAAGAATAATCAACTTTCTCGGGTCCTTTCGATGTATATTAGCATCGTTTTACAAATCAATCCATAAATGATTGCAGCGTACGATTCCGGCCACTTTGGGCCCTTAGAAGCTTTAAATATCTGGGTATACAGGTTTCAGACTGCGTGAGCTATACAAATAACCTAAAACAACATGTAGATTTCTCCTCAGACCCCCAACAGTATTCCCACAAAAATTATTGACAACTAAACCGAAGTCCTTTCCCCCAACATGCGCAATATATCCCTATATCCTTTTTTCCTTGCGATTAACAGAGGTGTACTTCCGTCCCTAGTATCGGCTAAGGATGTAACTGCATTTCTTTCCAACAGAAGCCGAACAGTATCGTCGCGTACGTAATGCACGGCTTGTACAATGCTGTTCTTCCATACCTGTCTGCAGAATTAATCTCGATGTCTTGCCTTCCCAAGATCATTTTTGCAGCATCCAAGTTCCCGACTCTGACTGCATATGACAAGGATGACTCTCCAAGTCCATTTGCAAGATTGACATCGATGTCCAATCTCTCTAGTAGGCATGAACAATTTCGGTGAGGCTTTTGTTGGATATTGAATACTGCAGGAGGCATCCTATCGTAGCCGTTGTGTATAGTGTTGATCAATATATCATTTCTTTGCAGTAGCACACGTACAACGCCAAGATGTCCATTCAAACATGCCGCCACCAAAGGGGTGAAACCTCTACGGCGTTTCATATTGACATCGATATGCGGAATATGTAACAATGACTTGACGATATTCAGGTATCCTTCTTGACTAGCAACCACCAGCGGTCTATTGCCCCGATTTTTGTCGCGTAAATTGACGTCAATGGCTGTTGTATCTAGAAGCGCGTTTACAATTTCAAGATTATTCATTTGGATGGCGAGCAAAAGCGGCGTTGTCTTGCAGCCGACATGTAAATCTTCCAGATTGACATTGATACCCGGATCTCTCAAAAGACATTTTATTGAGCGATATCTGCCAAAAAAAAGTTACACCGGGGGTGTTCGGAAACCATATGTATTTCGAAATACTGATGGGCTTGGCATCGATGGCACCCCGCAGCCATTCAAGAGCAAGATCGTCGATTTTCGGGTTGTCGGCTTTCCTGGCGTGATGTCTCCAATGTGAGATGGATTACTGAAGAAGACGAAATTGGTACATGTGATTATCAAGGGCTTTGTCGCAGCCAAAGACATAGTTTTTACAATGCAGAAAATCGTCGGCACCGCTGGCCATAAACCCGAGGTATCTAAGACATGTACGTGTGATATCGGAATGCCCAGATACGAAAATTTCACCGCATCCGTACTAGCGTTTCAAGTATTCCTGGAAAGATTTGTGGACAAGACGTACTGTCGATGTCCTCTGATCAAGGACGACCAGTCCAAAGCACTATTCTGGCAAGGTCCTTTCCGGGGGGATATTTTCCCAGTCAAGTACATCCCCAGC